GGTGACCGTATCTTGTTGCCAAATTCGCTGATTCACGTAATTTGCCGCGTCTGCAGCAGCAGCGACAACAGCCAGAAGCCCTAGCCAAAAGCCAAAGCCAAAAACCGAAAGCCAATGTCATGCCGTGCCGCTATTATACACGAGAAAACACTGCCGGAAAAGTGCAGGAAAAGTGGATTAGGAGGCGTTAGCAGCCAAAAGTTGACTCTATTCCGCGGGAAAATCTCACTCAGGGTATTTCCCATTCGTTGCACTTTTCCCACCCATTTGCCGCCATTGTTTTGCAGCTAAATGAATCTTAAATAGCAACGTGAGCATCAACACAGCTACGAATACTCACTTGCGGGCTTGAAGTATCCTTTTTTTTCCCATTTTGCCTTTGTTTTGGTTGGGTCTTCCTTGTACTTTTCGTTGTGGCTTTTCTTGCTTAGATCTTTCGATGACTGAGCTGAATTTTAAATGGCTTTTAGTTTGAGTTCCGATTTTTCGGCGGGGGAACGTAGTTTTCATCCAGGAAGTGACCGTAAAAGGGGAGCATTGCCAAATTATATTTGAGCTTAAGTCATTATCGAGACAATGGGCGGACGGTAATCGAAAAATGATTAAAACAAAGCTGAAACTTAGATTGGCTAATGGGTTTATAGAGGCAATTGGAAATTTATAATTAATGATGAATTATTGGGTTAGATAATAATAAATAAAATATAATATTAATATTTTTCAAACACTTTTTAATGTATTTAATTTGTTGAACATTAAGTAACCTATTTTATACTTAACATTAATACTTTATATTACATTTAAGTTTAGTGATTGATATACTGCCAGAACTGTTTATTTCCTTATTTAATAATAGAAAACCTTCTGGATCCCTTTTAATACAGATGTGTGCTTTAAACAGGAAAAACTCTGGGACCAAAAGGCGAATGATTTATGGCTCCACGTGCTTTGGTTTTGTATTTGTTTTCAACAAAAATTACTGACCTATGGCCAAGCTAATGGCACAACGAACCTCATGTTAGGCCACCGACAATGTTAAGCTTTTACAGGAAAAGAGCTCGGAAAACTCTTAAGGCCGCTGTTAACTGGCTAAGAGAGTGAAAATGTTCAATAACATTCCTGGCTCTTTGGGAAATTTACTCTTCTATGGGCTCTCTTTCTGTTAGATAGCCTGATGTTAGGCAAAGGACCCTCTGTAAATATTTACAAGAATGTTAGGCTAATGGCCAAAAGCAGCATAAATCACAGAAGTCGAGGCTGTGTCGACGACGGCAATGCGGTTGCAGTGGGATGGCTGTCACCACCCCCGATCCCGGAATACCGAAAGCCACTCCCCAGCAAGTGGCCCAAATGTGCATTTAAATTAGCTGAAGAGGGAGGGCGGAGACAGGAAACCGCCTATACATTTTCCCCCGTACAACTGCAATGTCATTTCTATGCACAATGAATGCATAAATCATTAACAAGCATTCGCCGCTCTCCGCTCGCCACAAAAATAATAACAATAATGCTAAAAACTGCAGCAGCACAACCGATGCTGCCACAATGCCCATGTGGATGCCACCCAATCAGCAAACCACTTCCCGCCAGAGAACCCCCCTCGGTGGCATGTGCAACCAATTACTGGCATTTCCGGCAATCAGTTTTTAGCGCTCGAAATTCGCAAACAAGCGGGGCGCCCGAGTATAGTTGTAATCATTTTTGGAAATTTCGAATTTCAATTCGATTCCCGTCGTCCCGAGCATCGATGTCCGTTCGTTGTTCCCGAGTTGAGCAGTCAAAATTTATGTTCCCGTCCATAGATCATCACGGAATGACACTCGGCCAGAGGCAGTTGTTATTGTGTTGGGTTCGAGTGGAATGACATTTTTGGCCAGCGATAAAGGATGGGAGTTCAAATTGCTTTAGATATGTGTGTGTGTGGCATTTTTGTGTCGTTTTTTATTAAGTTTAGGAAAAAGCAGGATTTATGATTATCCTTAATGCAAATGAACAAGTAAGTAAAAAATATTAATAAACATTAATACATGTTATAGGTTATTAATGATAATTTATTGACTTTAAATTATATGAAAACCCACTTAAAATTATACAAATTCAAGGACCTTCAACTCTATCGATTTACATTAAAGTCTACGTTGAGCATAAATAGATTAACCTCACATTGCATAAATAAATATTAAAGAAAGCTCTCCCAGGATACCCCGATATATTCCAATTTAAGCTCATCCCTGTGGCTCAACTGCATCCGAACATGTCTTGGCCATCTGAAAGTGTCTCACGGTTGACTGCCAGAGATTGCGAAACTTGTCAGTCAGCCAGCGTTGGCCGAGTGACCTTTTCGATGCTCTCACCTTGGCACACAGGTCCCGGAACCACCCAATAACACCCACTGCCCATTTGGACGGGAAAAATGTCAAAAATGATATTTGCATTCTGACTATATTCCGCTTTCTCTGCTTCCATTTAATTGAAATCGAAACTGACACTCTGGCATAGGAGTTGTGGTATTTTTTTTTTGTATTCTTGAATTCAAAAGGCTTAAAATAATGCTGATTATAAAAGCGGTTTGCGTGCGGCATGTACGCGATAATGCTAATTCTTTTAATTAAACAACTGGCCAGCCGCCGATAATGATGATTAGGATAACAAGCTACCGTGTGTCATTATGAATGTCATTAAAATTATGCGTAACAAACAAAACTAAACCATGTTCTGCTAAATAACCGAGTACCAATTAGTCTGTGGAATTTCAATTTAAATTCAAACTTTCCCTGTTCGATAAGAACTTGCCTCTTTTTTGGGCAATTTTTATATAAAATTATACAAAAGCGAATGTTTTTCGTAATATAAAAACGGTTTGCTTGAATGAATCTAAAATGAGAGATTTATTTAACTTTGCAACATAGAAAAAAAAGAGAAATACTGATTTAATTAAGCTGAGTGTTTCAAATATAAAACATCGCCTGGCTTAATTAAATTCAAGCAGAAAAATGATACTTCGTATTTTCCGTTGATGAAGCTGCATGATGACCAAAGAAAAATGATAACCCATCAAGGACTCTGCAAATTGATTAATGGGGTCACTATGGAAAAGTGCATTCCATGTAACAGAATCGGAAGAGCTCACAGAACCGTCTAAACCAGAATCCAATCACTTATCATTTGTTGCAGCTGGAAAAAGGGCAGGGCACTAATTGAATGTCATCAGGGCCATCGACAATGTCAGTTTGAAATATTATTAAGACCATTTTACATGCAGTTTGCACTTATTCCATGGCGCAAATTGAGAGAAGGAAAAGCGATGCCGGGTAAGTAAGCTGTGACCGGCGAAATTTGCGTAAACAGCATTTTTACACTTTATATTTTTTTATAATTGCCGCAGCAGCTAGATGTAAATGACAAGATTTATATGTAGAACTTGCAATTATGGAAAATTGGGCAAAAATAAATGAAAACCTGATGTTGAGGCTTAAGAACTATTGAGAACCTCTATTATAGAGTAATATTTTACTAATTATGTATTTTAATAGAATACTTAATACTTAAACATAAACAATAATTCTGACTTTAAGCGAAACGTGATCCTCAAGCTGTGGAAAATTCAGCAGTTTTTCTCAAAAGTCTGCAGCGTTATTGTTCTTTTCTCTGGCACGAAGCACAACAGCCAGACAACCCGTCTGACTCTGAAACCGAAAGCCAAAAATGCAAAAAAATAACACAAAAACTAATAAAAGAAATACAAGGCAGCCGCCAAGATGAGGGAGGAACTCCAGAGACGTTTTATTTATAATGAAGTTCATTTACTTTGTGCAGAAATACAAAAAGAGCACACAAACGATTTAGTTCTGGGCGGAAGGAAGCGAAAAGGAGTGCAAGTCCTGGTGCAATGGCAGTGGCTGTTGCTATTGTTTTAGGGTTGTTGCTTGCAAGATTAATATGCTGCCGGCTTCCACTACTTATGCTGCCTTTCAAGCCCAGGCCAGCACATCCTGTCAAGCATCGCCCACTCACAGTGGATTTTGAGAAAATAAAGTCGATTTCACGCAAAACATAAATTTTCATTAAGAAAATTCATTCGATTTTGGATAATTGAATTTCATTTATATTTTAGAATATATTCAGCTCTAAAATGAGCATCAGTTAGTTAGGAAAAATTTAATTGTTGACATCCAATTACCTAATTTATATCTAAAAAAAATAACAGAGGGATTCTAAAATTCCTAACAATAATGTGTTTCAGTTTAAACGTAAATTACATTTTCTTATAATTATAACATTGAAGTTCTTTACACTTTTTTTTAATATTTATGATATCACTGTAGCTTCACACACATGTCATCATTACTTTAAAAATACTTTTTGATTTTACTGGTGTGTGTGTGTGTGTGTATTTAACGAAAACTTAAGTCAGAAAAGAAGCCTTTTCGAAAGCAAAAGGCGGGCCGACAGTCTGCGAAATACTTGGCAAACGAAAATATTATACAACTACTTTAAGAGGAGGATTTATTGTGCTCCTTGTGCCGTTTACTTTTCCCAGTAAAACCCTTTGCTCAGCGAGATGCAATGAAGCCGAAATGCAGCACTCAACTTGAGCTCCTGTCGCTCCCTCAACGAGCCAAAAATTTTAACGGCATCTCTCCCACGGCGAAAATGAGCAGGAAATGGGCGGCTCCCTTCCACTGGCTTCGGGCTTTTTCATTTGCATCCTTTGGCGCTGCCATAACTGCCGCCTGTATGCAGTTACACATCACACTTTAGTTCTGCAAAGTGGCAGTTTCCTCCGGCACACAGTTTGTCTTTTCATTAGTTTCGGATTTAAGTGTTTTCCTTAGATTTGGCGCCTGGCAAGGATACTCCTTTGGCTAAATTCGGCTATGAGCTGCTGAATATTCACAAGCTTGACCTTTTGAAGGCGTTTTTCTGGGAACTTTCCATTAGCTTTGTGGGGCTTAATTATTTCTAAGAGGAAGAATCCCCCCAAAAGAAACTATAAACCATTCAAAAAGGACGCATTTCCTGTTTAATATCTTAAAATTTTAGTTGTAGAGATTTCCCAGAGCCCTGCCTTATAACTTTCCATCTTCTTTGTCTATGCTGCGCCTGAGATTGGTGAGCACCTTTCGATGCGACTCCTTGTGGGGATCCCGGAGCTTGAGGGCAAAGCAAACCGGGCTGAGAATGTCGTCTACATGCGGAATCTTCGATGAACTGGGCATTCGCTTCAATCCCGTCCATACCCTCTGCCGCGCTTTAGTGTCCTCGGTGGGGGTGGGTGACACGGCGACCTCAAAGGATCCAACCTGCGGTGGCCCACAGTCGTTGATCCTCAGCTGTAGATTGACCTTCGGGTGGATGGCCCGCAAGGCGTCCGCAAGCGAAGAGTGGAGATGCAAAGCCCTTTTGCGGTAGATTTGGCGATGCCTACAGTGCTCGATGTAGAGCACCGGCTGGGTCGGGTCCAGGGGCCGCTTGTCGGGCATCTCGACGGACAGGTGGACAGACTACGGCCTCCAACGCACCGCGCTCATTGCAACTGGCGGGGGAAACCCTCTGTTTGAGGGGAGATTCTGGGGCTCACTGGCTTGACACAATTCTCCTGGGCAAGCAGCTCAGCTCAGCTGCTTCATAACGAAGTCGGGGAGCAGGAGGTTACGGGGCCACCTTCATAAATCAAATAAAAGAGCGTATCTGACAAATAAATCTTCGAGAGCAAAACAGGCTCGACAAAAAAAAGAACATGCAAATGCGCATAAAATATGCTAAAGCCACAGGACCTAAAATGAATACAAAAGATTTCACTTATCAGACAACATAAATACACAGTGGCTACTTGAAAATTAAAACGATTATCGAAAATGATCAATTAATGGTAATATATTTTTAAAATTGAAACCAAAACATAGTAAGAAAGCAAAAAATTACTAAATATGGATTTATAAAATCTATAATTTAGATAAATAATCAAAAGTTTTGCTAATGAAAGTATATCCTCTTCCTAATAGGACACATACTTTTAAATTGATTTATTTATTAAAAATGCAAATAGAATTCTTTAAAAACATAAATTGAATATTTATTCTGTGAGTAATTACTGTACATCTAGTATCCTTATATTGTCCAGTTTTTGCTGACATTTTGACCTGCGGCGACTCGAAAATATGTATAATCGAGTCAATTTTTTCGCTGGAAAATTTACCAAGCCAAAGAGTAAAGCCGCACACACACACACACAGAGACAGGCAAAATAGAATTCTCCGTATAGAAAGGAAGCCAAATGAAAAAAGGAAAATGTATATTTTAATAAACCGAACACAAAAGTCGAGCAGCAAGGCCCACAGCCGCCCACTCTGCACCCGCCTCCCAGCCAGCGGCAAGGTTAGCCAGTTCATTCATTCGGTTTTATTCACAGTTATTGAAAGTAGAGCAGCGCTGCTCTCGAATAATATAAAAATAAATAAAAGTAAGACCGAGTCGTGAGTTCCCATCCCAGCTATGATAATATGGGACAAGGGTTAGGGGTCGGAACGTGAAGCGCCCGCCCGCTCGACGACAGTTGACAGACGACGACGAATCCGAGCTGGCAAATCCAAAGGAACTTAAAGAAGAGCCAATAGTCGCCTTGTTGAATACTCATAGGTTATATTTAGGGAGACAATTAAAATAAATTTTTTATTAGAAATATTTATAGCATATTGAAAGTTGAATTATTTTGTCATTCTTATCTTTTATATTTAATAATTAAACCTTTTTCTACATAACACAACCCAATATGCCCTTGCACTCCACATTCATCGGGTAGAAATATATTCACTGAATCCCGAATCTTGAGGTTTGGTCTGCTGTGACGATTGGTGGCTGGTTCCTCTGATTGGATCAGCATTCAGAGTTTGTGTTGTCGAAAGTCCCAACAAGCACACGCAGTCACAAATGGTCATGGGGATGCTACCGACTTTTGCTTTAAGTTGGCAAAACGTAGTTTATCGCAAACATTTGCTCTGTGCCTTTCACTTGGGCTTAATGAAAGCCAAGAAATATTAACCTAGGATTTATGAGAGTTTAGCTGTTTGAATATCTGCAGTAAAGGGTCAGAAAGGAGCTTAAATCCTTATTGCTGTAACATTTATTTGTATATTTTGCTGCTACAAATAAACTAAACATTAAGCTTAATATTTATAATTAATAATAATAAGACAATTTTTTATATTAGATTTAAGCCAGCTTAGGAATTTCATTTTAAAACCTTCCTCAATATTTAATTTTAACTACATTTTCCCCGACGACTGATATTTTCGGCTGGCGCACTCATTAAGATAATTGTCAACGGCATCGTGCCTCTCGGCAAGGCCGCCGCGAATTGAGCAACTTTGCACTCGTCAGCGGGAACTTATAGATGACCGGGTAAGCCGGTCAGTGGCCTCGCCCCATTTGTCAATGTTCCTGCAACTGCCACAGGGCTCCACGCAGCCTTCAACCTTCAGTTTCACTTATTCATTTTCCCCATCGCCCCCGGATTTTCTTCTGCTCCTTTATATTTTTTCTCTCTCTTTGCAGTCCGCCACAAATTGGCCAATGCGTTTGTTCGGGCATCCAGAAGTTGCCGGGGATTAAAAAACGTTTTGCATGCCAGCGGCTAAAGGATGAGGAGGTGGACTCGGGACTTCGGGATTCGGGATTCAGGGATTGAACTAGGGCGGCGGATGGCAAATGAAATGCGTAAATGAATTTGCGAAAATTATTTGAGCGGCCCCTGGACGCCTGGACGGCGCTTGATTAAATTTCTCAGTGCCAACGAGTCCGGCGGGCATAAAACGAATCCACATTATTTATAAAGTATCCGAATAAATGAGTTTTCATTGATATACAAACATAGATTGGGCGCTCATCGAGGGATTTCCCAGGCGGGGAAAATATTTTCCCCAATTTCGTCTTGGTTGTATTTTATTTATTTCAATTATGAAAAGTTTTGGCCAACACAACGACGGCCACAGAAATGCCTTTCGAAAAAACGAAGGCGGAAAACGGAGAGGGAACAATCTCAAATGGTTTTTTTCTCCTTTAAACTCACTTGAGCCCGTCGCCACATCCCACTTGTATCTGAATCCCTGCTCCTGGGGTTTTCTCACATTTTACTGCCGCGGACGTGGGGTAAACAAACATTAACTGCTCAATTGTTTTCAACGCGCTGCTTTGTCCTGAATTGATGAGCTTTAAATCGGCGGGCCCTCTTTGTATATTTTTCTATATATTTTTCTATTCTCCCTCTGCCTGACTTTATTGTCCTATTTTGTCCTCTTCGGCCTGGCCGTTACCCCTCTTCATCGCAGCAATTTATTCATAATCAACAGTGTTAGCCTAATTGGTATGTCGGGCGAGGATTCCCAGGGCGTTTTATAGGCGTTCTTGAATTTTAATTCGCTTTCAGAGGGTTTAAATATTAAAAAAAAATACATTTAATTATTGTATAATAAAATATATAATATAAATTATTTTTTTTGCATTCTGAAAGAAATGAAAATACTTTAAAAAGTTTTTTGTATTTATTTCCCTTTCTTACTTTATCTCAGAGTAGTGAAATGCATTACTGGAACGTCAATTGAGTGTATTTTTTCAATGATTTAATATTGCTTTATAATAAAATTTCCAGCGGGCCAGCAGAACAATGAGTCTCATCAGCCGCTCGCATATTTGCTCGCGGGCTTACGCGCTCTGGTGTTGTCTTCAACAGGTAAACGTTTTTCCGCTTTATTTTCAGTCTGCCCTCTTGTGCTTATAATTAAATATTTTCTTTACAATTTGCACAATTCCGAGAATGGGTTTTCAGCAGGGTCTCCCGTTCTCTGCGTTATTTTTAAAGTGTTTTGTTTGTCTTTAATTAGCCGTTTGTACTGGCGCTTATCGCCGAAGAGAGAAGTGCGTGGGAGAGGGCTGACTTAATGGCCAACTGGCAAGCAGAGTGTGTGGGCGCCGGTGTGTGGGTGTGTGTGTTAGGGTGACTGCTTCTGATATGATTAATTACCTAATTATTGCATTAGATTATCGCACAGCTGTGGCTGTGAGAAGTTAAAGCGTGGCCTGCGGCTTTTATTGCTGCCGTTTAATCACTGCCAGCCCCCTTTCGAACTCAATGGATTTTCAATTCGACTTTGTGGGGTCAAGACATTTCCGAATAACTGAGGTCAGCACATTTGCGGCAAAACCGGAAAATGCCAAGCACGTTCACCAAAACTATTGTGTTCTTTCCTCTGATCAATGGCAGAACTATTTACGCTTTAATGTGGCTATCGTGTGAAGTCATGGCGCACACAACTCCTCAAATCGTAAGTATCAACAAGTAGAGGGCCATAGCTTGCGGATGGAAAATGCAAGGAGTCCTTTGCCAAAACAATAAGAATTAATATTATTAAAAATAGACCGGACTTGGGGCATAAACCCAATTGGACTACAGTTGTTTCCGTAACTTTTGTCTGTTGACCAGCCACTGGGCCCGCACAGATACAGATGTATCTCGTCCTTGGCAAGGCATTTTCAATATCAAAGTCACGTGCAAATGTTGTATATTAGTTTCCTGCCCGAACCAATGTTGGTTTTCCCGTGTTTTTTCTTGCCTTTGGCAGCTGCCACCTTGTTTGCCAGCGCTCTAGTGATTATAGTTTGAAATTTACGTGCCCATCAAAATGATTATGGGCACGCACACACAGTCTCCACACCCTCACATAGATTTCGGGCGTTTCCATGTAGTTAACGTATTCATGCACTTCATTAGGAGCGTCATGTCATGCGGCACAGAGCAAAGTATCCGGGAATCTGTGTATCTCTGACTCTGCGTGGCCCCAGAGCTGTGGAGCTGCTGTGTATCTGTGTATCCGTGAGGTTGAAATCTGCGTCGACATGGCTGCTTGTGTGTCTGTGTGTTTTGGTACGCGGTTGTCGCCTGGGACACTGATGTTTAGCGCTCGGCAAAGTCGTTTTAATTAAAGTTTGTGCAGGCATTGAAATTATGTACCATTACAGTTTTATGCATATTCAGCTAAGTGCGACGGGGATGTGAATCTATACATGCACTTGCGGTCAGGTTAATAGGAGCTTGGGGATTTTAAGAAATAATAACTAATATTTTGATTAAAACTTTAAAGTTCTGTCATTAGAAATCTCACTAGAAAACCTTACCTAAAACAATATGATTTAAAGAAATAGGTAATAGAAATTATGTCATAGTTTTATTTTATTTTCACAGAATTTTCGCTACATAAATGTTTATATTTTATATATATTACTTTCTATTCCTCCTATTATTTTGCCAACAAATTTATTTATATTCATACATATATATTTGTGGGTATACATAGACACTTGTGAGTGTCATCGAGCTGGAGCCGCAGAGAGTTTCGGTTGCGAGCTGGTTGTGTTGCTGTTATCGGTTTTGCCTACCGAGAAATTAGTTATATAGTTTCGCTATGCATTAAGCCGATTAAAAGTTTTCCTATCAACACTATTGTAATTGCAACAAGTTACTTTTACCGCCCTTTCTGAAGGGAAAGAATTGTTGATGGAGTGTAGACACCAAAGCCAACTCAGGGAATTCCCCGGCACTTTACAAGCACTTTGGTAATCATTGATTTTTAGAGAGAGTTGTTATACT